GTTCGCTAATAGACAGGTCGACTGACAATTTTCTGCGAGCACAATGTGCCGGTGTTAACAATGAGAAGCGTTTCCACGTCGGGTGGAAACTGTTGCGCGAGCAACGGTATAACAAGCAGAAGATATTACATCGATTCTGACCCATTCAACTATCTCCTGAAAAGATAGAATACATTGGTTACGACATCCTCGACGCGATCAACCGATTGAGAAATCTTATCTTTAACGTTCTATTATCAGCGACGCGTAATGTCGCCGTAGATTACAAGGCAGCACATTGGCGTCGACACGTTTCATTCTTCCTTAGAATTCGAATTGTAAATATTGAAAAGCGTGCAGTTAGCTTTTCCGAATTCGTTTGCAATTGAAATGAGTTTCACAATGTGTTAAATACGTTTGTTGTTAATGTTTCCGATTTCGTTGCGATATAAATATATTTTACAACACGTCGAACGTGTCGTTAATATTTCAATCAGTGCGGAGAGTTTTTATATTCGCAACGAAACTCGATGGTAGTTCGATAGTCGACAAATAAAATATTTGATGCGAGGCTCTCTCTCGCCGGAAACGACGGTAAAAAATATCTGACCTGGAAGGTTAGTTACAGAGAGAAATTGCGAGGGGGCTTCCTTTGTTCTTTTTATTCGGGCAGCGCAGAAATTCCGAAAAAATAACCCGACACGTTTTTGAGAGGGATATTCGTGAATATCTCTCGCAATTTCTGTATATCGCGCGGAGGGTTGAAACCTGGCAGAAAATTATTTGCTGGGTGACTTCGTTTCTTCAAATGGAAACCCCGGATTTTAATTCGCAGATTTTTGTTCCGCGCGCAGGAGGAATTAATTTTTCTAACGGTGGCTGCGAACGCGTTCTACTTTATTGTTGATTCGTTGACGCTATTATTAAAAAAATTCATTATTAATTTAAATATATATAATTATATAGACATGAATGTAATAATAAAAATAAAATGTAACAATAAATATTGTTAGCAGAGATTATGCGAGATCTGATCCTTGGTAATGGCGAGCGTGAATGATGTACTGTCCGTGATGGAGAAGAAGCACGTGTAAACTGGGTAGAGGCACGTCGTGAAGTGAAAGTTGCGATACCTGAAACGATCAAAGGGCGGAAGCGAAAACAGGATATAGGTGGCGCGCTAGGAGCCAGGATATAGGGTGACGAGCTAGGAGCCCGCGGGTCATTTGAAGTGTTTCTTCTTACACTCCCCCTTGAGCCGAGGGCGAGTAACGTCGACACCCTAGTTCATTCCTAAGAACTTGACGCACTTTTCGTGCTTTAGTCCTAGTAGTCCCTTGGTTAGGATATCGGCGGGCATCTCTCCCGTAGAGATGTGCTGAACTCTTGCCTTTCCGTCCCGCAAGACCTCCCGTACAAAGTGATGCCTCACGTCGATGTGTTTACTTCTGGCGTGGAAGGCCGGATTCTCGGCAAGCTTCTGCGCACCGAGATTATCGTTGAACACCACCGCATCGGCCAGATCATCGAATCCCAATTCGACGAGAAACCCCCGGAAATAGAGGCATTCCTTCACACCCTCGGTAAGCGCCATGTACTCCGCCTCGGTCGAGGAGAGCGCGACGGTTCTCTGCTTCCTGGATTCCCAAGATATTGGTCCGGAGCTTAGGATCGTCGTGTATCCCGTGTACGATCGACGATCACTCAGACAAGACGCCCAATCGGAGTCGACGAAGCACCTGAGGGGGTTACCTGACGGTTTGAATGTTATTCCCATCCCTATGGTCCCCCTGAGGTAACGCAGAACTCTTTTTGCCGCCATCCAATGAGTACTATCGTGGCAGTCATTAAATTGGCTCAGTGAGCTGACGGCGAAAGCGATGTCCGGCCTGGTAGAGACGGCGAGATACATGAGAGCTCCGATGAGTTCCCTGTATGGTCTTTTCGATGCTTCTGGATCCGAAGGAATGCTTGACTTCACGAGCTTGATGCTGGGATCCATCGGGGTCTTTGCCGCTTTTGACTCCGTCATCCCGAAGCGGTCCAGAATTTCTTTAATATAGCTCGTTTGAGTCAAGCGGATGGTGTTTTTGCATCGAGAGAATTCAATCCCCAGGCAATAGCCGATTTCGCCGAGGTCTTTGACGTCGAATTCCTGGCCGAGACTCGCCCTTATTTCCTCGATTCTTGTTGAGTCTCTTGAGGCGATTATTATGTCATCGACGTAAACTGCGATCAAGGTCAAGTCCTCACCCTTCCCCAGCCGATAAGTGCACGGATCTGCATTGGTGGGCGCGGCGCCCAGCCTTCGGAGGGATTTGTCGAGTGTCGCGTGCCATGTTCTCCCAGCTTGGCGCAGTCCGTACAATGCCTTTTTCAGTAGGCACACTTTATCGCCAGATTTGAGATTTTTAACTAAGGACTTGGCCTGTTTACATATCTCGCTGTCTTTCCCTTCTTTGTGGATGAGGGATTCCAGCGCTTCGATGACGAGTTTCGGAGGTTCCATAAAAATTTCTTCCTCGAGAACTCCATTCAGATAGGCAGTCGTAATGTCCAGTTGATGCATCTTCATCCCCAGTTTCGCTGCCAGCGCGGGGATCAGCCGAACGGAGCTTGTGCGCGCGACTGGAGCGAACGTCTCGTTGAAATGCACTCCTGGACGTTGAGCGAAGCCTTGCGCGACTAAACGCGCCTTCCTCTTGTCGATCGTTCCATCGGACCTGTATTTGTTCCGCAGCACCATGCGGCTTCCGATGACCTGTACGTTAGCGGGCCGATCCACGATTTCCCAGGTTTTATTTTTTATTATCGACTTCAGTTCGGCGGCCATGGCATCGAGCCATTCGTCGGACTCCGGTCCGCTTACGGCCTCGCTTATGGGAATCTCCGTAGCGAAGGCGAATTCCTCACTGGCATATCCGGCGTTGGGGTCGACAGTCCGATACTCCTTTCGAGGTCTCCCCCTCAATCCAGTACGTATCAACCTGGGCCTTCCTCGTGCTCGCATCAAGTCGGTCGGTTGTAAGTTCCCCCCATCTTCCTCTTCGTCCTCGCTCTCTTGTCGATCTTCCGCAGGCGAAGTTCCGGCGTCGTCGACGGCGGGATTCTCCGAGCGTATCGTTTCGGCGGGATTCCTCGAGCGGGTTGTTTCGATGAAGACCTCCCGAGGAATCGGCTCCGAATTCCGAGTTTCCTTTTCTTCCCCCACGACGAGGTCTTCGGGGACGAACCTGCAGTACTTACCTGGAGGGGTGTCGAAGTCCTCCCTAAAGACGACGTCTCGAGCGATGACGACCTTCTTCTCGTCGGGTACCCACACTCTATAGGCCTTGGAGTGGTCCGAATAACCGAGGAAGATTCCCTTTTTGCTCCGTTCATCAAGCTTTCCCTTTTTGGGTTTTGAGTTCAGGAAGAAGACCCGGCAGCCGAACTCTTTGAAGCCGCTCACATCCGGTACATTTCCAGTCCACGCTTCATATGGCGATTTTCCGTTTAGGCTCCTCGTAGGACATCGGTTGCGGATGTAGTTTGCAGTTGATATTGCTTCGGCCCAAAAGTTGGAGGGAAGTCCAGACTGTATAAGAAGACATCGAGCCATGTCGAGTAAGGTGCTATTTTTTCTCTCTGCAGTCCCATTCTGCTCGGGATTGTGAGCGACTGTGAGTCTCCTGGTTATTCCGTGTTTCCTCATATAAGAGTCGAATTCATTATTGAGGTATTCCTTTCCATTGTCCGACTGCAGATACTTAATCCTTTTATCCTTGTGATTCTCGACCTTCCTATGGAATTCTTTGAACTTTTCGAAAACCTCGTTTTTTGACCTTAAGAAATATACCTCGCACCACCTTGTGGAGTCGTCGATGAATGTCACGAAGTACCTGGCCTTGTTGAGTGACTCCACTCGCATAGGCCCGCAAACGTCAGAATGTATGATGTCGAGCATCGTCAAGTTGCTTACAGAAATGCGAGGTGGCGCCGCTGTCCAAGCACCACTTCCGCTCGGCGTGTTCGTTGTGTCGTCTTCTCGCTAACATGGCCGCGTCGCCCATGGCCGACTCCTCCGATGCTCGCAGACTTACGTTTTCTTCAGCGTTCTTCGCGTCATGAGGAGTTTGCTTGTCCTTACTCCAGCAATCAGCAGCCTTGTGTCCGAATTTCCCACATCGGTGGCATTGGAATTTGAATTTTTTCTCTGATTTTGGCAATTCCTTTGTCATTTTGAAGTTCGAGCGATATTTTACATCCCTGCTAGCCCACATGGCGTTTTGTGCACCGTTTAGCACGTCACCTTTTCGAGCGTCGCTCTCTTCTATTATTTTTATGCGAAGAACATCGGGGGTCGGCAATTCGTCGCGGGATTCGATCGCGCATCTAAAATTCTCGAAACTCGGTGGTAAGCTGTATAAAAGCATAATCGCGAGCAAGTCCGGGTTAATATCGACCTCCATTTCACTTAGTTTGTCGACCGCGTCGAAGAACCTATTCACGTGTTCGTGCACGTCTCCGCCATCTTCCATGCGCTGGAGGGTCAATTGTTTTAAGAGCGTCGCTTTTCTCGCTGGCCCCTTCGATTGATATATGCCCTCTAATTTCAGCCAGACTTCGCGAGACGTCGTGCACCCTTTTACCTGTTTCAGCTCAGAAGGGCTGATCGATAAGATAATATCGGATTTGGCTTTCTTATCGTTCGTTATCCACGCGCTCTTCGCGGCTCGTTCCGCGTCGGTTGACTCGGCAGTCGGTTGTATAAATTCACCGCTCACGTATGACCACGCGTCGTTTCTTACCAGTAACGCTTCCATTTGCATCTTCCACGTGTCATAATTTTCTTTGTTGAGGGTTTCAATTCTCGACATGCTGGACGCGTACATTTTTGTTCTCTAACGATCGAGCCGCGTGATTCTACTCTCAGTTAACTTCCGGCACAATACAATTTCGAATTTTATTTCCACTCGATATTCGGTCAGTCTGGGCCCATAACCTGTTAGCAGAGATTATGCGAGATCTGATCCTTGGTAATGGCGAGCGTGAATGATGTACTGTCCGTGATGGAGAAGAAGCACGTGTAAACTGGGTAGAGGCACGTCGTGAAGTGAAAGTTGCGATACCTGAAACGATCAAAGGGCGGAAGCGAAAACAGGATATAGGTGGCGCGCTAGGAGCCAGGATATAGGGTGACGAGCTAGGAGCCCGCGGGTCATTTGAAGTGTTTCTTCTTACAAATATAACTAATGTGATGATAAAAATAAAATACTAATTGGAACATGATAAATATAATAATAGAAATAAAGTATAATTATAATATAATAAATATAATAATAAAAATAAAACATGATTAACATGTAATAAATATAATGATGAAAATAAAAATAAAATGTGATTAGAATATAATAAGTATAATAATAAAAATAAAATATGATTAAAATATAATAAATATAATAATAGAAATAATATGTAATTAAAATATAATGGATATAATAATAAAAATAAAATATAATTAAAATATAACAAAAAATATAATAATAAAAATAAAATACGATTAAAATATAATAAGTATAATAATAAAAATAAAAATAAAATATCATTAAAATATAATAGATATAATAATAAAAATAGAATATAATTAAAATATAATAAATATAATAATAAAAATAAACTGTAATTAGAATATAACAAATATAACAATAAAAATAGAATACAATTAAAATATGATAACTATTATAATTAAACATTAATTCCCATCTGCACGTTTGAAAAAAAACTTGCTGGAATCTGGCCAGAACAATAGTTAACGTCTCCGGGCGTCGGTGCAAGATAAAACGAGTCCGTCGACGGTTCGAGCCGGGGCGACGCGGATCCAGGAAATCGGTCTCAACGGAATTATCGTCGAAGAAGTCGCGATAGCGTCGCGCGTCCCCAATGGGCGAATTTCAACGGTATCACCGAGCGGGGCCCGATAATAACCGGACCGTAATTTAGTGACTCCGATCCGAGACCGATAATAATCCCGACGAAAATAAGTTAACTTTGTTCATTATAGTTCGGAACTACCGGGATAGTTCGCGCCGCAGTGAAAGTTCCCTCTGTATAATATCCCGATATTGAAAAAATTCCCCCCTCCCCCCCTCCACCGCCGAATGGAAGCGGATCACCCTGACACTTTTGTGAAAAAAGCAAAAAACAAAACGCTGCTTTCACGGTTATTAATCGACCGGCGCGGCTTGCACCACTATTTTTCTCCTCGTAATTTTCAACGTCTCACGGTATTTCGATTCTCATTTTGTTTAATTGTATTTAATTTTCATTTTGGTCGATTCTGTTTAATTTTTATTTTATTTTACTGTACTTAATTCTTATTTCGTTTGTCTGCATTTAACAAAATCTAACTGCATCTAACAGAATTTTATTTTCATTTTATTTAACAATATTTAATTTTCATTTTATCCAACAGCAATTAATTTTGCACTTTATTTAACTGTATCTAGTTCTAATTTCACCTAACAGTATTTAATTTTCACTTCATTTCCTCGATAAGATAATCTAGGTCAAACTGACCCGGTCACCGGGGATGTAAAAATAGCTGGAAATCTCGGCTGCAGAAGTCAGCAGAGATCGATTGGCGACAATAAACTCCAAATACGAAGCAATATATATATATAACAAAAGTAGACTACAATACAATTTCGACAAGAATGCGACACGAATTGCAGGTTAGGTCGCGCCTATACGACTCCAATCACGCCGGTAACTCGAGCTTTTCATGCAATCCCGCAGATATTCCGTCGGATCGCGGGGATCCCTGCGCCGTTGCACCGAATAAAAGGCGGCCGAAAGAAGGGAATCGGTAACGAAGGTATTACCGCTCGGGGGTCGGAAGGTTGCCGCATCGAAAAAGGCGGTCGTTTCCCGATCGTTTCCCGGCGGGAGGATTCGCCGGGCTCGAAGGAACCGTGGAAGCAGATTCCTGGCCGTGCGGCAATTTCGAGTATCGTCCACGGTCAATTAGATCGGAATAATGGAGGAACAGAGTAGACGGGGTGTTTCGGTCGAGCAGATCGTCGCGGCGCGGGACCGGCCTCGTGGAAATCATTGGCCACGGTGCAGGAATCAACAGGAGGAACGTTTCCACGGGCGGCCGCGCGCGGCCCACCGACAGCGCAACAATAGAGTATCTAATGGCCAATCGAAACTTGCCGATCCGCTAACGAGATCGTCCGAATTCTCGGCGACTTCCGGCGACTCCCGATTTCCGACGCGCCTATCGATTTTGAGGAAAGCCTGCTCGCGGCCGGCGCGTGTGCGCATCGTTCTTCGTCGACGATCTCTAAAATTTTGAAAAAAATATGGCGCGTCCCTGGGCCGAAGACGCGCGTCGGAGAATTTTTTCAGATTTTTCGGTGGCGATACGCGCGCGCAAAAAAATGAGTAACCGAAAAGAATTCGAAAAATCGCTGATTACTCGGAAACGGGGGTGGAGGCTATTTTTATATTAATTCCCCGATGAGTCACCGTCCCGTGCAGGGTGCTCAATTTTTTTCGGATCCTTCCGTCGGCTGCGACGTGGTCGAGAAAAATGAAAAGCGAATTTTTCGACGGTTGCGCCGCGAGAAAGTTACGCTCGTTGCTGGTTGCGGTGTAGGCGTGGTATCGGGTAATTGAGAACGTTGTTGCAATGAATCGAGCAATTTTTAAACAATAATTGCAACGACCAGTTTTTTTTTGTCCGCTAACTGCGCGCGTCAAGACGCCATTAGCGGCCGGAGCGCGGCTCGTTCGAGGTTTAAAATTTGATACGTTTTGCCCGGGCAGGAGGGGGAAAGGTCCTGAAACCGAATTAATCCGATGATGGACCGTTTGACAGCTTAACGGGGAAAAGCTCGGTTTCAGCCGGCTAGTTGCGGCGAAAGAGACCGGATCGGCGTCCGTTGCTCGCCTAGGATTTTAATAAATCTGAAATCGCATCGACCGAGATCCGTGGCGAAATCGCTCTCGAAATTTTACGAAGGCGGCGCGGATACTTTTGAGCACAGTTTTTTGAATTTGCGGCATTTTCGGAATGCTGTTTCGGAAGCTTCGTGAAAATTTCGCTTTGTTGCTAAATGACCACGACAGAGTGAGTTTTTGCCGGAGTTTTTGCTCGCGGTTGAATAGGCCGAAGTGGGAGGGGGATGAAGACCAGATTATCCGGATTTTTTCTGCCACTACGTTTCTAGTCAAAGTAGACGAAATTTGCGCAAAATATTTTCTCTCTGGATACCATCGGCCGGCCCTGTGGCGGAGTCACTTTTGACCGGCCGGATATCACGTTTCTTTGCTATTGCTGCTGCTGCTATGTTTTGGGACTTGACGTTATACAACTCAAGATTATACGATTTTATAAGATACAAATCAACGTCACGGGACTCAACATCATACAATCAATAATAGTAGGAGATAACATGCTATAAATTAACATCATATAACTCTCCAGGAAAGAAGTCAGCGTCATAGAATTCTACGTCAAAGAAGTCGATATCATACAACTCAACATCATACAACTCTTCAGCAAACAAGTCAACGTCACACAATTCCACGGAAAACAAATCAACATTATGCAATTCTAAAGGAAACAAGTCAACATCACATACAATTCTGCAGAAAACAAGTCAACATCATATACAATTCTATAGAAAACAAGTCAATGTCACATTCAATTTTACAGAAAACAAGTCAATGTCATATTCAATTTTACAGAAAACAAGTCAACATCATCAAATTCCAAAGAAAACAAGTCAACATCATACAACTCTCCAGGAAAGAAGTCAACATCATTCAATTCTACGTGAAACAAGTCAACGTCATACAACTCAACATCATACAACTCTTCATCAAAGAAGTGCACATCATACAACTCTCTGTCAATCAAGTCAACATCATACAATTTTACGGAAAGCAAGTCAACATCACATACAATTCTACAGAAAACAAGTCAACGTCGCATACAATTGTACAGGAAATTCAATTCTACGACAAACTAGTCAACACCATACAAATCAACATCATACAAGTCTCCATTAAACAAGTCAACATCATACAACTCTATGAAACAAGTGATCATCATACAACTGTCCACCAAAGAAGTCAACACCATTCAATTCTACGTCAAACAAGTCAACTTCATACAACTCAACATCATACAAGTCTCCATCAAACAAGTCAACATCATACAACTGTCAACCAAAAAAGCCAACATCATAAAATTCAACATTAAACAAGTCAACATCATACAATTCCGCATCGAACAAATCAACATCATACAACTCTGCATCAAACAAGTCAACATCTGAACAACAATTGAACATCATGATTCCCGGCATTCTCCTTTCGGCTCGGCCAAAGAAAAATCGCTAGTTTGAAGCGGATGCTCGAGAATCACCTGTAAATCTGTTCGCGAAAGGTGCATCGAACGCGGAACGAGTTGCGGAGTCAGCGATTAATTGGAGCTCGCGGTGCTAAATCGTCGCGAAGATTGCAGCTTCGCGAGCTTCTGCGGAACGAGAATACAGGTAAAGAGAGAAATCGGGAGAGAGAGAGAGAGAGAGAGAGAGAGAGAGAGGAATGAAAGGGTAACGGCCGAACGAACGGCGACTTATCACAGGGCGAAATTAGAATCAACGGGTTGGCCCGGTCTCAGCGAGGATTCGCGTCCCTCGGGGAACGCGTTCGGGACTTAAGGCCACCGGGGCTCCCGTATAATTAGATGAGTTAATTAAGCAATCTGCCTAAGTGGAGCCAGCTTAACGAGGAAAAACATGTGACGCTTCAACCCTTTGTTTCGTAAGCTTCGCTTTTTGCCGACGCCCACCGGGCTACAAAATGCGCCGTGTTTCTGCTGACTCGCGCGTCTCACTTCCGATTTTCCTTTTTCACCCTCGTCCAACCGTCGTCCCCCCTTTCCGCCCTACCCGCCGCGCGCCGGTTCTTCCCGCGACCTAACCTCGCTGGCCGAGGGCTCCTTTGAGCGATACCCTCAATAACGAGCACAATTTATTGTACCGGGAATCGACGGCGCAAAAACCCGTCCGCGTCTTCCAACCGGCGGTTCTTTCGCCGGCGAAAATTCGTCCAAAAATGTCGGTTTTACGAAAAAAAAGAAAAAATACAACCCGCGAATTAATCAACTCCCTCGCTGCAATTTTTTACCGGCATTTGTCCCCCCTCCTCCACTTGATTGCCTCTCTCATCGCTACCGCTGTTCCATGGAACGTTTCTGTCGTACCTTGTTGGTCGAATAAAAAAACAATTCAAGGAGAAATCGTTTTCGATTTAGTCGTTTTTTTATCGCAATTAATAATGATTTTTATTCTACGAAAGTTCTCAGGAAATTCGTCAATCCAGGAAGAATTTTAATAAGAGGGTATAGCTAAGGTGCATTCGGATTTAGCTAAACTGTATTTGTGCTAATTTAATTTTAATTTTAGAAGATTTTTACAATTGAAGGTGTACAAGCGTTTGATAGCATTCCCAAATTATTATCCTCTCAGAAGAGTAGGTCCCCAGAATTGACGCTCACTTTTCGATGAGATTTGGCACGGTGATAGAGCTCGTAAAGCTGAATCCAATGATACCAGGTTTCAGGGGCGTAAGGCTTATAGTTTCTGAGATAAATGTTGAAGTTGCTAATAAAGGCTAGAAATACGCGCTGGGTCACGCAGCGCGGCATCATCCCCCACTTCCTGGCGTGCGGCGCATCCCCACTCTCTGCCGCACGGGGCATCACCAATCCCTCCCACGCGAGGCACTCCCCACTCTCTGTCGCGAGGCGCCGCGCAGTCGAACGCGTTTTCCTCGCCTTCTGTTAGCAACTTTAATATTAATTATCTCGAGAACTATAAGTCGTCGACCCCCAAACCCGGTATCATTGGATTCAGCTTTACGAGCTCTATCACCGTACCAAATCTCATCGAAAAATGGCGTCAACACTGGTGACCTTTCCCTTGTCAAACCTGTATCTCATTTATTCCTTATTACTTATTAAATCTCTCCTCTTTCAAACGCTACGTCAACGTTACCTCAACGCTACTAATTTGCAAAAAATGTTTACCAAAATATAGACTCAGAGAAAAAAAACGTTTTTAATATCAGCTGCTCGGGGGATCGTATTCGGATATTAAATCGCGGCGGACCCGGCGCGAGAACGGAGAAAGGGAATGGAGTATCCGGTGGGATCTTAAGTATTTAAACTGTAGTTAGAACCGTTCGCGAACGAGACATGAAAATCTTACGAGAGCGGAGCGGCGTCGAGCAGATGGCAAGCAAACGGAAAAATGAATCTGTTCCAGAGGCGGAGGCGTGTCCCGCAAACACTCGCCGGCCAGGCTAGGCGGCGGACTTCGGCGTAACTTTCGCGGTCCGGTTACTTCTCCCTCTTCCACTCCCTCCCCATCCCCTCCAGGCACGAGTAAACTAATGAAAATGTAATTAATGGCGTTGTTGTAGCGCCTCGGCCAGCGTGGCACCCCGGCGGTTTGTGGTCATTTGCATAGATATTATTCTTTTAAACAAACGCGAGAGCCCGCGAAATTATTTCTGGACAATGGCCGGCGGACCCTTGTGCCCGCGAATAATTGATGGCCTGTAAAACAGACGAGTGTATTGTTCGACGAAAACGGCCGCCTTTTTCCAGCCGCTTCCGGTCCCGCTATCGGCGTACCGATCTTAAACGCCGATTAGCTGCCAATGTTTCGGAATTCTTTTTTAAGCCGGCAGCCGGTGCTTCGATTTCACACTCGGCACAGTTGTTGAGGATACACTCGAATTTTTTCGAGGTACAATATCGGTTTTTGTTAGAGTTACGCCAATGGTAGTGGAGAATTGTAAGATTTCGTTGAACTGTGACGAGGAGGCTCTCTTTGGGAATTTTTTTAGAAGGAAGTGTTTAGTGTTTTCGTTTCACATTCGGCACAGTTGTTGGGCGGTAGTTTGAGGATCCACTCGAATTTTTTCGAGGTACAATATCGATTTTTGTTGCAGTTACGCCAGTGATAGTATACAATTGTATCATTTCGTTGAAGTGTGACGGGGAGGCAATCTTTAGGAATTTTTTCCGACGGAACTGTCCATTGTATTAATTTGAAAATTTCCACGTTAATTAGGTCCCATTCGAAGAGCACCCTCGAATTTTCTCAAGGACTAATATCACTTTCCTTCAAAGTTACGTCAACGATACTATAGAAACGACGCTTTTCGCAAGCCTCCACTAGTCCTGTCATAATTTCGCGACGAATAAATATATCTGCCTAAAAAAATTCTGACACATTCTCCGAGCTAAGCTCTTTCAAACGCCGCAAGATTTATTCGAAAAGGTCTTACGGTTATAGAGAGAAAAATTCTCAGAAAATCGTCTCCGAGCGCACCCCGATTACCGAGGAACCGTAGTCTCAGTTATCTCGGCGGCGAATGAACAAAAGATTTATATCGACGGGAAATTAAAAAAGAAAAAAAGAAAGAAAAGAGAAAAAACAACAGACGAGTCGCGTCATTTCCTGCGGCTCGACTGTTCCGCAGTTTCGAAAGCCCACTCGAAACGACGATCCTCGTCGGAACACTCGACGTTTCCGCGACGAGTGGGCTCCCTGAGACAATACCCGATATTCTCGGCGATTCCCCGACTCGCTCGATATTTATACGTACAATTAAGTCGGCCCCTCTCCGCGGCTCGAACGTTGACACAACGTTTCCCGTGTTTGGAGTTCGACTACGTGTGCCGCGAGCCTCCCCCCACCCCTCCCTAAGGCACTGCGTCGAACGCGCGTCACCGAAGAGAGGATACGTTCGAACCTTCCTCTAAAACGTCTGACACTTTTGAGTACGCTTTGCAACTGTTTTCATTGTGATGGCAAGACGAATATATATTTATACAGTTAAAATGAATTTTGTAATATTTTAGGGCGAAGATTTCATGGTAGAATTTATATAAAATTTTATAAAAACATTGTTTATGCAATGTAAATGTTATGTGTATTATATATTATATTATATAAATTTATATATTGTAATATATTTTATATATTATATATTATATTGTATAAATTTATACATCATAACATTTTATATATTCTATGTTATATTATATAAATATATATATTATAATATTTTATATATTATATATTATATAATTATATAATACATATAATATAAATATTATTTATATCGTATATTATTTTATTAAAGTTACATAATGTTGCAAAAATTACGTACAATTTTATAAAAATTATATACGCCTAGTTGAAAATGTATAATAATTGAAATTTAATATTTTACGAATAATTCTCTGCATAACTTCAATAATTCCCCCTCCAAGAAACCATAAATAAAGTAATCCACGTCACACATTGTTTGAGAGTTCGCCGATCGAGGAGCGTTTATGAGAAAAACTTGCGCCGTAGCGTAGAGGAAACGGCGTGCAAGAGGAAACTGCGATCGGAAGAACGTTAATATCGAAAACACTGGGAAAAATGCATAGAAACACGGTCTCGCGAGATGCAACAATGCGAAAAAGAAAAAGAAAGCGGCGCGCACCTGTGACGAAGTCCGCCGAAGTAATCCCGCGGTATATATAATATGGCGGGCAAGTTTTCTGAAAAGTTTAAACAACTTCTTACGGCTGAGTTATAGTTACTTAATAACTACACGCCGGGGCTAATTCGATTTCCCGGCCCTCCCCTCCTCTCCCCGCCGCGGCGCTATAATATTGAACTTCGAATACGTCGGCTCGGTAAGAAGAAAGACTATCACGAGAATTTTCGGGCGAAATTATTCGCGAAGATAATTAATTTCCTTGTGTCAATTCTATAAAAAAATTTGTACAAACACAATAAAAAATTTACACGACCTTGAAAAAATTTGTACAAGCTCAAAAATAATTTGTACAAACTTAAACAAATTTGTGCAAGCTCAAAAAAAATTTGTGCAAACTTAAAAAAATGTGTACAAACTCAAAAAAATGTGCACGACCTTAACAAATTTGTATAAACGTCTAAAATGCCTATAAAATTTCCGCAAGTAACCAACGGCTTCCATCAGCACATTTTTCGTCAACGAAACGACGAAGAAGCAAATTATAAACAAACGAACGAAAGAAACAGCCAATAAGTTTCCCGCGGGAGGGTCCTTAATTAACAATCGGAACAAAGCGTAGCATTATGATCGGCGTCGCAGTGGGCAAAAAATATTTGCGCCTCCTCCAAAGCCGGTCGAACAGGGAACTAAAACAGCAGACCAATGGCGCTGTGAAAAATTCCTAAAAATCGTCAAAGCGTGCGCGAAGGTATTACGAGGGTTTTCG